TATGATTGAGCAGTCTAGAAACGTGTGATTTAAGGAAAAATGATGAATATTGGATGATAACTTCATTAAATCAGCTTTTTGCGCACTCTTGTGCTCCAGGATACCGGTTTTTCAAACAGAAATTCAGTTACCTCACATACAAAACTTAGAAAAAAATCCATTTAATACAGTTTTTTTCAACCAAGTAACTTTTTTTAGATCAAGCCATCAAAGTTCTCTGCCAATTAAAGTCAGATATTTTGAAAACAAAGCGAGAAAATTCTGATTTACCCAAAATGTAAATGTTTTCAAGCTCTAAGATTTCAGTTAGGCGAAGACAAGTAAAGAAGTATATCCGCATAAAAGCCAATTCAAAAACCCGTAGGTAATTGAAATTTAAAAACAGTTAATGTAAATCTGCTGAATTCAAAATTATTGACCAATATCACTTTTTTTGTTTTTCCTTGTTAGAGTACCACTTCCAACTTGCACGTTATTGTTAGCCGTATTTGCATCTAGTTTTGGCAAGTCTATAAAACGAACGTTCCTAGGAGTGTAGCGAACTCTTCCCATTGGAGACCTGTTTAGGCTCTGGTAGCTCATGTTTGGGAGGATCTCCCCGTTGTTGTTGGGATCCTTTTGATGACGTTGAGTTTCGATTGAGTGCTCCTAGTTAGAGTCCCGGTAGATGACCCGCTAGGCGAAATAGGACTGTGGGTATGAGCGGGAGACACTTCACCATTGCGACTCCCAAAAAAGTTGTTTCCAAAAGTGAACTTTGATTCAAATTTGATTCAAAAGTTGCTTTAAAATTAGACCCTTCAAACAATTCTATTTTAAAATCTCGCAATTTTTTCAACGATGTCTAATTTTTCTAGTTTTGGTAGGGAATTAAATGAAGGTTTTGTTAGAATTTCATTCAGTGATGTCACGCATGTCATAGGAACGCAATACGAAGCATGGAATTTGCTTTACCGTCTGAAACAATTAAACTTTTGAGAAATTGTAATTTATTTCAATTTGTCGCGTCAAACTTGAAAATAGTATTATCTAATAGTACAGAATTACGCAGCAGTAGTTAGTTTTAGATACCAGGATCATTTTATGGCCGCAGATGCGTTTTGAATTGAAAAAAGCTTTGATGAATTCTAAGAAAAAATTTTGAAATATAGGTTTTTGATTGCATTTCTTCTCAAAGTAAACAGAGTCGAAAAAAAAACAATGAAAAAGAAAACTCAATAAACTTAATGAAAGTTCATTGAAGGCAAACATGCCAAGCAGGACACCTAAATATTAAAAAAACCGTGCTTTTGCAAGCTTGAATAGCACTTGAACTGAACTTACGAAGCGGAAACAAGGCCAACAATTTTTGAGCAGACACCAGTTGAGCCTAAAAGGTTTGATTTTATTTAAAACAAACTAAAAGATTTAGGACTGAGCATTACTTGCAACTACAATTAAATTTGCTTACAGCACAGAAAAATCCGTGATGTGGCTCGGCACAGATTAATTGGAAATAGCATTGATGATTTTCAAAAAAAAAACACCCAATTAGAACTTTTTGCTGGTATATTTCACAAAGAGGCGAATCGGTGTTTGGTACCACTTGCAATACAACAAACATAGAAAATAAGAGAAGTCGGAAAAAAAGAAAAACACAAAAAATAGACCGCCAAAATGAATCGACTTATCGACTATTCGTGATGAGGCAACTAAGCCGCCAAACCTTGGGTAGACAAATGAAAGTAGACAATTTGATTTTACCGAAAAATTTCATTCCATTTATACTGAAAATAATTCCGGTCAGGACTCGAACCTCAGACCTCAGGGTGCAAAATCAACCGGGTTCCTGCTAGACCAAGTGGGAAGGATCTGGCAGATTTTAAGTTTCAGTAATTAGTAAGGTTCATTTTCTTACAGATTTGTAAAAAGAAATTATTTACGGGGAAAAAATCTATTTCCCAATTACTAAACACTTGCTCTCGCATTGGTAAAAAACTTAGATAAATAACAAAGATCGAACGAAATTGCATCAGTAATGCTTTCTGAGTGCTTTCACAGCTATAGTTTTTTATAGTGTTTTTTTTTCCTATTTAAATAATAATGCTACCTTTTTAACAGTATTTGAACATTCAAAATTTATGCTTCAAATAGACTATGAGTGTGCGTTACATATACTTTTTGCCTAATCTTTTTATTCTTTCGTAGCCTTGAACTAACTATTTATTTTAAAAATGTGTTCTAATTTTTCTTATTTTTTGGAGAAATAAATTATGTTATCTTAGGTATGGTTATATTCTTTTTATAAAAAACTCAGTTTAGGTGATTAAATTTTTCAGGCTGAGTAAACAAAATACATTGGTTTGAGAATTTCAACTTAATTGTTTATGACTCTTTAAAAAAATTTTAAGCGCAGAAACAAGAAAGAGGTGTATCACAGCCCAGAAAAAAATGTGAACAATAAAAAAACGACTATGCAGTTTTTGTGGCTAGTTTCTTGTTTTCTATGATTGAGCAGTCTAGAAACGTGTGATTTAAGGAAAAATGATGAATATTGGATGATAACTTCATTAAATCAGCTTTTTGCGCACTCTTGTGCTCCAGGATACCGGTTTTTCAAACAGAAATTCAGTTACCTCACATACAAAACTTAGCAAAAAATCCATTTAATACAATTTTTTTCAACCAAGTAACTTTTTTTAGATCAAACCATCAAAGTTCTCTGCCAATTAAAGTAAGATATTTTGAAAACAAAGCGAGAAAATTCTGATTTACCCAAAATGTAAATGTTTTCAAGCTCTAAGATTTCAGTTAGGCGAAGACAAGTAAAGAAGTATATCCACATAAAAGCCAATTCAAAAACCCGTAGGTAATTGAAATTTAAAAAACAGTTAATGTAAATCTGCTGAATTCAAATTTATTGACCAATATCACTTTTTTTGTTTTTCCTTGTTAGAGTACCACTTCCAACTTGCACGTTATTGTTAGCCGTATTTGCATCTAGTTTTGGCAAGTCTATAAAACGAACGTTCCTAGGAGTGTAGCGAACTCTTCCCATTGGAGACCTGTTTAGGCTCTGGTAGCTCATGTTTGGAGGGATCTCCCCGTTGTTGTTGGGAAGCACTGGGATCCTTTTGATGACGTTGAGTTTCGATTGAGTGCTCCTAGTTAGAGTCCCGGTAGATGACCCGCTAGGCGAAATAGGACTGTGGGTATGAGCGGGAGACACTTCACCATTGCGACTCCCAAAAGAGTTGTACCCAAAAGTGAAACTTTGATTCGAATTGTTCAAACTGTAATAAGCAGGTTGCATTGCCGAGTTAGGAAATGATCTTTTTTGATTGGTCGGTGTCGGAGCATACGCAAATGTTTCTGAGGCTGCATTCCAAAGTGGGGAGATTGGATTCCCGTTGCGTAATTTTGCACTCGGAAATTGATTTCGATGTTCAGGCGTTCCTGGTTTGAAGGTCGAAAGTTCGACTGAACCAGCGTGACTACGGCCTCTAAGAGTCGACGGATGGTGTCCCTGACTTGAAATGTCGAGTGACATCGTTGATTGCAAAACGGGCGTTTTGTAAGTTGGAAAATTAGTGCCGAAACTATTTTTCCGTCCAACATTATTCAGAAAACTATTAGGTATCGAGTTTTTGCGAGGTTGCTTCATAAATTGCATGTTTACTGTCGAATCGTACATATTTTCCATATTTTGCGGGTGTTCCGAAACTATTTGGAAGTCTCTATTTTCAATTGGATTTTGAAAACCGGAAGGGCTGTGCAAACCTGCATTCGGAACATCTCCGTTTTCACTCGATTCATGTTCGGAAGAATTAAGTTTGTACGATCGGAAGTTGTTGTTGTTTTGAGAGAAAGACGAATCACAGGAAGGGTTTAGACTATTCGGTGACAGAAGGCCATTCGAAATTTGGGGAGGGTTGTTTTGGTTCATGAGTTCATTAAGGATACTGGACCCTGTCAGAATCCAATCGCGTTTCGGAACCTCAGGTCCAATGGCTTCGTCTGAGGTGATTGTGAACATATTCTGAACAAGTTCCAAAAAAAAAACAAATAAATAACTCAAACATTAAATTATATCACAAATGGAATGAAAATTTAAAGAGAACTACATCCACTGACAAATTTACAAAAAAGTACATTTAAATGAAGAATAAAATGAGCTTCACTCTTGAAAAGGAGAAAGCTTTTACAAAAAAATAACACTGTTTGCCTCAATTTTTTTAAGCTCTAATTTTTAAGCTGATTTTTTTAAGCTCTAATAGAAATTTTCTTTCAAAATTGAGGCATTTAAAGTGTTTCAGAAAGCATATAGGAAATAAATTAAACTAATTAGAATAAATTAAGTGTTTTAAATTAAGGCTTAGAAGTTCGATTGTAGAGCGGCAGTTCAAAAAGCTTCCAAAGGTTAAGGTTAATGCCATCAGGTTAGTTTTGAAAGCAGGCTGTGAGTTTTGTTCAAACTAAGGCGTGATCACATCCACATCAATCATTCTAAAACTAATTCTAGTTTCTGAGCGTTCTTCAAAATTGGTAGTCGCTCCAAACTTCATTTTTGTTCACGCTCATAAAAGCTCGTTCAGATAGACCCAAATATCCGATTGGTAACCAAGCCTAACAGATTCTATGGCGTTTTAAAGGGTAGCAGTTTTAGAACTGGACACTGGGCTGATATATCGGCTGAGTCGCATTCGAACTGGAGTCTGAGTTCAGAAGAGGTCGGGAACTCTGTGAGTTGGACCTGAAAAAAGCGCCGTTGCTGTCTGTCGGAGATGGTGCGTAATTAGTCGTCGAGTAAATGGGCACAGTCGGGGAAATACTTCGTTGAGACCCGTTTCCATAGCTTCGTTGGGACGCCAAGATTGCAGGGCTGAATACTGCGGGCATATGGGGAGGCATGGGGTTGAAGACGGGCGGGGTGGGGGGAGCCGGAAATCCTCCGCTGTTTCTGTTGGATGTGGAAGATATGGTTGGGTAAAAAACTGGATAGTTAGTCTAGAACACAAACGCAAGCAATAACTAAAAAGTTAATATTCTTCCCACTACTAACTAGTGCAAACCAACAGTGAAGTAAACTATGTATAAGTGTTGCAAAGGTGCAAGAGTTAATTTTGTTACATTACCATTCACGTCGATGTTGTTGAAATGTTGTGTTGAAGAACTTTATTCAAATTTCACATACCCAAAACAGTTTTTAGAAAAAAATTAGCCTCTTTGAGAAGTTCGATACAAAGAAATAATGGACAAGACAGAAAATCTGAGCAATTTCAATCGCACTTATATTACCTAGTGTTAAGGTACAATATAGACGCATCGTAAAAATATTTTAATACAAGAGGCGAAGCGGAGTTTCGAACAACTTGCGATACAATAATGAATGACTATGATTACCAGCAATTTTTTTTTAAAGGACAAAAAAATCCTGGAACAAAATTACCTGCCCCATTAGAAACATTACAAAAAGCTTTCAATATGCTAAAAGAAACTGAACCTTTCTTCGGGACCCAAAACGACGAAAATTATCAGGCACGAAAATTAGCAGGCACGAAAATTTTTAGTTTCCACAAAAAAACAGGTCCCGACTGGAATCGAACTTCTGGGATTTTTTGTCTCAAGCATGGGTGTTACCACTGCACCAAATGCTCAGAGTACTCCTTGAACTTATAAGGAAAACAACTTCCAAAAACTTTTAATTAACAGTATGAAAAAAAAATCAAAAAATAGCAAAAAAAATAGGCAAACTTCTTGGAACTCAATTAGTTGCCCAAAACCGGAATGCGCTGATATATTTTTAGTTGGAGTTAAAAAGCCAAAATTTTAGATAGATCTGATGCTACGGTAACTAAGCCTACCAAAAAAGCAGACAAACAGAAGTCCGACAAAGATTTTTGGACGCGCGGACAATTTTCCGCTTGCAAAAAAAAACAGGTCCGGCCGGATTCGAACCTGGCCAGATTCGGTTTGACCTATTGTTTTATAGACAGGTGCGTTAGCTCTTCGCCTCATTGTCGAATTAATATCTGACTATTGATTTCTTATAAACCAAAGGTAAAATGATTCAAGTGATTCTGTTAAACTAGTTGTCAACACGAAAAAAGTCAATATTCCGGTTTGATAACGCTTGCTAATCCCAAACGTAACTATTAATATACTAATTAACATAAACTGGGAAAGCTAAGGAAAGATGGATCAATAAGGAACAAGGAGAAGGAAGGTGACAGAAATCGGCCGGAAATATAAACAAAAACAGACGCTAATTATCATTTCGTAGAGCTAAGAGCCACAGAAGTTCTTTTCCTATTACCAAGCGTGATCAGAATGAGTGGAAGTGATTTACCAAAAAGGTGGAATCTCTGTGTGGTCAGCACTCTGTAGAGAAGAAAACAACAAACTGATAGAAGTTTCCGACATAAATCTTGAAATCTCACAGCAGATGCCAAAAGTATTCACCAGCAAAACAAACTACAACTAAACAATTTTTAACATCTTCCCGGTTTTGCGCCTATTTAACCTATATGAGTCTATAAAATGACTTAATTGAGTTAATTGATAATCGTTAATTAAAAAAAAACCCGAAAAATGAGAAAAATTGGACTGATATCTGCATCTGTTTTCAAAGTGAATGCTACAACCACTTTACCTTTCTAAAATTGCCCCCAACGCCGGGTACTTTATTTGCACCCCGGTAGAACGGAGGGTAAATGTACTGCGGAGCACAGCTGTGTAGTAAAAAGTTGGGCGGAGGCTGAGGTTCGAACTCACGCCACATGCCTGGCGCCCCATATATCGTTTGAGAAGAACTCTGCAAGTAAGCGAATTGTCTTAACAAATTGCACACCATTCAAAACACCTGATGCAACTTATTTCAGTCTTAAATGCAAAGTTAGTTGTTAAATTTAAAAAATCCGTTAGATTTACTCTTAAGTTAATTAGTCAGAATCAGCAAGCTAACAATTTCGAGTTAACACTTACGTCTTTTTGAACTTCTTTTGATAGAAAAACACGGAAAGGCCAATTTTATCCAAAAAAAATACATTTATTTAGGAAATAGTTGAGAAAAATAATGCTATTTTAATCAACAAAATAGCTTGAACGATAACTTTCAATAAATCTAAATAACATAACTTTCAAAAGAATCACATGAAGTTAATGTTACCTTGCATCCGTCATCTATGCTGTTGATGTCATCTGCCCTGCTTCCGAAGAACGAGCCCCCATTCCTCTGGTTGGCCACCATGGTCGGGTACATTTGGGGCGGGGGAGGGGGAGTGCCTGAGCCCCCGTTCATCAGCATGCCGTCCATGTCTACGTAGTCCTGTTGCATCTGCATTTGGGAGGGGGGCAAGTGTTGGTTCATTATGTGGTGAGAGGGAGAACTCACGTTCAGTCGATATGAGGGGGGCAAATCGGGGGGCTTCTGGTTGACAGCCTGATGTTTTCCTCCTGTAAAAATAAAATAAATTACACAGATGCGATTAGCAAATATGAGACAATAAATCAACAGAAAAACGCAGACAACATTAAATAAGTTCAAATTTTGTTTTATTCAGCAATGAATGCGTTTGAACCTCTGTTTGAAAACACAAATTTATTTGAACTAGAGTACTGTTTTATAAGCAAGTGACGCAGTAAGAGGTGACCAGGCCGAAATCAAAACAATTTGGTAAGGATTGCTTTTAAGAAACTGTCAAGACATGAATCCTCCTAAAGTTTTGCTTGTTTCAGAATTCAAAACACGTTCCAAGTTCTGATTAGTATACTATAAATCAAATGCAAGACCATTGTCAATGATAGGTAACTGTTTCCAATCGAAATCTGCTTCTATTAAAAAGTGTCAAATGACTCTTAATAAACCAAATTTGATAGTTTTCATTTTGTTTTCAGAGAGCAATTAAAATTTAGATCCCAAAAAAGCAGTGCTTTGAGCGCTCAAAACTTCAGAGCTAATTCGAAATCAGGAATGTACCGAGCATGTTTATCATGAGTTCGTTGAGCGTTCAAAACTTCAGAGCTAATACGAAATCAAGACTGTACCGAGCATGTTTATCATGAGTGAGGTTAATTCGCCTTAAATTGCTGATATTCCCCGATTTATTTAATCCAAACCGTCCTAGAAGATCCCAAAGTTGATAAAACGTAGCAAGCTCGCCCGCTGCGTATCATGAAAACGCTTAAGAAAAACGTAAACGAAAGGATTTCTGGGATTGCTGGTCGGTAGCTGCTTATAGCGAGGCTTCAAGGGAGAGGCTTCTTGGGTAGGTAATCTTTTTAATTGCAGACCAGACTGTACCGCCGTTTAAATTCGAAGTATACAGAGGAAAACTGCTTTTGAGGTTGAATATTGGTTCGAAGCCGTTGGGCCAATTTCAGAAGGATTTTTAGAATTGTTGAAGTACTTCATTGTTTCCTACTGCCACATGGCTTGTAACGAGAATTCAAGGGTAGATAGTTGTCGATCATTTTACAAGTGAGAAGGTGTGTATAAACCATTGACTAACTTTATAGCTGCTCGGTTTTTGCCCAAAAAGTTCAATTACAAATTCAATTTTTTCCACGGTTTATTATTTTTAATCTCAAAAATTCCGATTAAAATTCGATTGAATCGAAATCACAAGACGCTTTAACCTCATTCATCTCCGTGTGCGAGAGAGAATAAGTGAGTATTATGTAACCAATTAGACGAGGTTCTGCAATTGACTTTGACTGACCTTTTGGACTCTGTTGACAGTAACAGATGAGAGCAATGACGATGGCGAACAGCAACACCAGCAGAGCCCCCGCCACACAACTGCCCATAATGATAATGGACATCTCATCTTGCGGAACCACTGAAACAATTACATCACAATCAGCAACTGCAAATTGACTAACACATTCCATTCTGGAAACTATGTCTTGCATTGTATTCTCTAGTGCCACATATATCAAACGTTTCATCACCAAACAAGTGATGTAAAACTTGCCTAACTTGAAAGTGCACTGAAATGATGTATGAAACCGAACAACTAAAAAATAAGACAAAGCGTTCAAAAGCTTTTTGATGTTCTAGTTTTTTTTACACAACCTTATTTCACTGCAAACAATAACTTCCACGCGTATTTCAAATGCGTCGAAAACCAAATCAGGATATTTTCAATTTTTTTAGCCGTATTCACTCAATACTCAATCATCATGATACAAAGTTTCAAGAAATTCGAATAGAATCCTAAACACGACAGAAGCGAACGCCCGAAGTGACCCCTTTTGGTACTATTTTAGAACGCCTTTTTGAGCTGACAGACCCTAAAAATTTTCTAAATGTGCCTTTGGCGCCAATATGTACAAATTTGGAGGGCGAGCGCGCATTTTTTTTGCTCAAAACTCCCCAAAGAGTTTTTTTGCCTGTTTCTGTAAAAAACCACCTGCAGCGCAAATTTTTTCTTAATCGAAATAGGATCTTTATCGTGATTTAATAGATCTTAAAAACTAAATATGGTCGACCTAAAAAAAAGGTCGACTAATTTTCACAAAAATGAAAATCCCCTATCCCGGGAAAAAAATTTAGATCCGCCCCTGTGAAATTCAGCTTAGATGAAAGAACAATTGAAAAGACCTATCACCAGCCTATTGGATAGAAGTATGAAGCAGCTAAGAATGTTAGTGTACAACAGTCGTCACGAAAAGCAGATCGATTAATGGAACAACATTTAAGAAACCAGTTATAATTCTATGCAATATAAACTTCTAAAACTTCCAAGTTAGACGCGTTTTTTGTTTACGTTTTGTTCGATATTTGGTTTTCTAAGCGGTTTCTGTTTTTTCTTACCAGACGCTATTTTGTTCGTTGGGTAACTACTTCCTGCAGCTGAAAATTCAAACTCCCATTTCACTTTTAGTTTGATTAGGGCGAATTCAATGAACTAAATTGATGTTAATAGCAGGGAAAACTTTAACCAACCAGTGAAAAGCTAGCATTTTTTAAACATTTTTAAAGCTTTTTATATGAACAGCAACTATACTTAATTCAGTTTTTGTTTCTAATCTTTTCTATTCTATATTTTATCAACTTTGATTTTGTAATTTATTACAACGAATTGATGATTGCTAAATTCAGCACAAAAATATTTTAAAATGATTTAAACAACTGATTCATCTGAATCCTAATCAATCATTCTGTTCAACATGTTTATCCATACTACCACCCAAAAACATGTAAACATTAAGACTATTAAGTTTATTTTTTTTATTAACTTCAATTTATATTTCTGAAGTTTTTTTTCAGTTTTTTGTTCATACTTACACATGGACTGCATGAGTGAGACAGTGGCGGTGTCGTTTCCGGCGTGGTTGAACACAGTGCAGTTGTAATCCCCGAAGTTCTCCTCTTTCAAGTCCAGAATGGTGAGCAACAGAGTCCAGCTGTCATTCAACTCACGCTTCTCCACTATGTATCTGAAGAACAACATCAACGTCATTTAGGGTGTCATGATTGTCAAACGAAGCAATCTTTTCCATTATAGCCCCTCCGCACAGCCTCGTAGCAAAAAAAATAAAACCCCACCACACCGTCACTTAAGTATTATGTGGGGGAGCTAGATTTCGAATGGGACTATACTGGGAAAGACTCATAAGAAGATCATTCGAGTGACATTTCCAACTTAATTTTTTTTTTCATATTTTTGACTCAAAGTACTTGTGACCAGGGGCGGATTTAGGGGGGGGGGGGGGCGGACGCCCCCCCCTCAGGGATTCGACCCCCTGCCGACCCAAAGGGTCCCCCCTTGATACTTTTTCAGAAATCCATTTTTGGCGGACCGACCCTAAAATTTTTCTAAAGGCGCCTTCGGCGCCAATATATACTAACTTTGAGGGGGAGCGCGCGCCAAAAAAAACGCAATTTTTTTGTCAAAATTTTTCAAAAAGTGCCCAAAAACGGCTTTTTTGACTGTTTTTTCAAAAATTTGCCTGCGGCGCAGAAAATTTTACCAAAATATGCGCAAAACAGTGCTTTGGGAGAGCTCGGAAAATCAATTTGGTCGACCTAAAAAAAAAAAAAGGTCGTCAAAATTTTGGAAAATTTTTCGAAAATCCGCCCCCCCCCCCTCGAGAAAATCCTAGATCCGCCCCTGCTTGTGACCCAAATGGTACCACTTACGGACAGATCATATAAACTTTAAAAAATTTTATCCTGAACGTCTCATAAAATCTTTAAAAACTACAGTTGGCAAAAAATGTTTTGAAACATTGGATATGGTTAAGAAAGACCTGAGTTTAATGCATGTGCCACGTCAATTGCTTAGATGCCCTCTTCAAAAATAGGCGTGTGAATAAACTAACTTGTTCCTTTACGAAGCTGTAAGGAACTATGGCGTAGAGGTAGAGAGTTTTTTTTCGCCAAGGAGTTTAAATGAGTTATCGTATTAAAAACCAAGTGGGCGTCATTTGGATTCAAAAAACAGACGTCATAAACAGAGGCGAAGCGAAGCTTCAGACCACTTGCGATTCACACTAGCACGGTAAACTAGTCGACAAAATATGATGACAGTCACTAAGTTGAAAAAAAAGGAAAAACTGGATCTCTCAAAAATTTCAAATCACAATTTGCCTCGAACGAAACATATTTTGAGAAAACTAGGTAAAAAAAACAAAATCAAGTGAAAAATTAGCTTGAAAATTTTTTAGAAGCAGTAAGAAACCGGCATTTCGTAAAGTAGTCGCTAGTTGAGCCGAAAAAAAGCCAAAGTCATAAAACTTGAGCTTTAAATAATGTCTGAATGAAAATCTGTGTTAAAATAAAATACATTATCATGCGAACGAAAGAGAAAGAAAGAAGAATTTATTTCTCATTGTTAATGGTAAATATGCATACAACGAGAATTTGAATATGAAGCATCAGAAAAAGTGAGGGGGCAGTTAACGAACCCAATTGGGTTACAGAGCACTGTCCGTTTTTATCAAATGAAAGACGAAATTTGAGATCTTCAAAGACAAGGAAAAATATATAAATCTGAAAACTTAAAAGAAAATATTGGAAAAATACTCAAGTTTGAATAAAATAAAGCAGCAGATTTTAGGCATTGTCTAGACAGCAATATGAAGTAAATAAGCCGATATAATATATGCAAAAAAATATGCAGAAAAAAAACTATGCAAAAGCGGAATTGTTATTTTTAGAATGTAGCCTGAATTTGAATTTCAAATAGAGGAGGTATTTGAAATCAAAGATGCTCGAATAATTTCTTTTGCTGAGCAAGTCTGTCTAGCTGGGAATGAACTGCTGAGTTCACGGGGAAAACCCTAGATTCAGTTTCAATACACTTGCTCTCGCAAAGGTGAAGAAATATTTGAGAAGATCTATTTAAATACTTAAGCAAAAAAGAACTTTTGTAAAAAATGAAAAAAAAGAGCTTTACAAAGGAAAAAAAATTGCCGCATATAGAATTCAAACCTTCGACTGACAGATTAAGAGTCTAATGCATTGTCATAATGCCATATTATTATGCTGCCTTCCAAACACTGGCCACCAAAAAAGCGGACAAAACGAATGCAAATTTATGCAAATTGAGGAATTAAGTTAGTGAACTATGATAAATTTGTTTAGTAAGTTGTGCAAAAAACCAACAATATAGATAACTTATCATTGAATGAGCACCAACTTGAGCAAGCGCAGAAGGTAATTCGGACCAAGTTAACATCCTCCCCCCTAAACACGTTTAGCGGGGAGGATGTTAACTTAGTTCTAAGTTGGGAATTTTCAGCCAATCAGAATCGAGCGTTTTACATGCAGCGCGTAGCAAATTTAATTTAATTTAAGCGCTGGGGTGGAGGATCTTAATTTGGTCTATTAGGAGGGGGGGGGGGGGGGAGGATGTTAACTTGATCCGGTAATTCAACCTATAAAATCACCTGTATATTCAATCTATAAAATAAATATATAGAATAAAAAAACTGAAATTTTGAAATCTTATAGTTCATTTATCTTACATCTTATTATGATTATATTTTTTCAGGAATTTATACGAGCAAAAAAAACAGAAATTCGGTGACTGACCGAACACTACAATCGAAAGCTTGCTTGGGTAATGAGCTGCATTTCAACCATATATATATTTTTTGAAAAAATTCGATTTCCAAAAAAACTCAAATTGGTTCTTTCCACTTTCATATAATTTCTGCATGACTTAACTTTCAATGCACAGCATCCAGCTACCCTTGGTTTATTCTTGCTTTTATCGCAAAAATTCCTTTACTCTGTAGATTTTTTTGTTCTGTATCACGCGTTATTTAAACTAAATTTCGGTAATTGCGAGAAATCAAAAATCTTCCTGCGACCAAGGGTCAAAATGTGCAAAGCCAATATTTCATTTTTGTGCCAAAACTGAGATTCAATTCGGAAAAAGAGCAAAACTTCAAACAAAAACAAAAATCTCAACCGCTGTTTATTTTTCCATGCCAGACCACATGGCTCAATTGAGCTGGCTGTTTTAAAATTGTGTGTAGGATTTACTAAGCTCGCCATGACGCCCATTTTAGGGGAAAATCCTACTTTAAGAAGAAGGAGTCTTTGTTGTTTTATGGTCGAGCGGACAAGTATAAGAGCTCGAATTGCAATGAAATCCAATAAAATAATCAAGAGCTCATTTCCCTCGTTTTTTCACTCAAAAAATCACATGACTAGACATGAATAAACAAATAATGGGAAATGAATGAGTAATATGTTACATGCTGACTGTTATTGTACAGGCGTTCAATTTTGTTCAGTTTCTTTGATAAATCTGTCAAATTTTGCTTAACACAGTTAATATTTTATGCACGAACATGAAATAATTTATACAAACAAAATAGCAAAAGTAATTATAAAAACATTCAAAAAATTTTGGTTTAAAAAATATTTTTTACGAGATTCCATTAATTGGACACATTGATTTTGATTCATATTTATGCATGGCAGTTCATTTTTTAACAGGCCCGTCTTCAATAATTTCATTTAGTATGATGGAATTTACTCTAATTATGTAATTAAGCCCAGGAAGTCGCTTTGACAAATTCCCGGCGTGAATATTTCTTTTGTTATTTTTATCTCCTACTCCTGGATTAATACATGCATGCACGCCGAGGGATAAAAAGTCTTCGTATTTGAATAGATTGTATTGATTGTATCAGCGCACCTAGCCTAATCCGTTTTTTCCTTTATAGGAAACTTGGAGGATAATTCGATTGATCTAAATCATACTGGCTAACTAGAATACAGATATTTCATTTATGATGGTAAAAAATTAGAATTTCAAAGTAATATATACAAAGTATTCAAGTTCTAAAACTTGAACATCAAAGATCAAAGTCTTCAAAATTTCCAACTTGAACACGAGTACCATTTTGTCATTCAAAAAAATTTGGAAACATTTTAAGGAAAAAATCCCTTTGAACTTTTTTCAAAACTACCGATCTGTATATTTTTTCTGGCGTGATCAAATTTTGAAATTTTTAAGACCCTTCAAAATCATCTGATCTTTATTGATCTTTTTTCTTCATAAGCAACAGTTCATGTGCAAGAATCTGATTCCAAGATGAAATCTAGATCAGTTCATAAATTATTCACACTCTTCAGCTTGACTTTTTTCTTTTCACCCACACATGTTCCAAGCAGATGGTTTTGAAAAGCGGTCAAGCAAGCGAAGGCAAAAGGAGTCACTTTTTTATGGAAACTCGACATTTAACGAAATACTATTCTACAAGCTCTATGATTTTGATTCATATTGAAGTGACCTAATTAAGCTGCCTTTCTTAACAACTGACGAAAAATTAATTTTCAATTTCGTTTTTTAATCAATATTTGAATACTTTGTAGCCGCGTTTGTAAATAATGTCTGACATTTGTCTTTTAAATTTATGAAATTGTCACCAATATTAAATTCAAACTTCACAAAACAATTCAACTTTCACGCTGATTTAATAAAAGTAATAAAAGAGCGCCAAAGTACCAAAACCGAAAAATTTCATAAAAATAAACCTGTTTTCCACTTGAAACAGATTACCTTCACTTCTCGAAAGTTCTAAATTGGCATGAATCATTCTCAATTTGAAAATTAGAGTTTTATCACTTGAGTCTAACTACTTAATATTAGAACAAGGGCGAAAATTCTCAATAAAATATAGCTGAATATCAGTTCGTCCAGCGTTTGTTAGTGTTTTCCCACAATTTCTGACAGGTAAACCTGAGGATTAAGAACTATCTTGGCATCTAATTCCGATTTATTGCACTTGCTAGCATGTATTTGTGACACCGCTTACAAATCCCAGCCGGAGAGAAGAAACAGTAAAATTATCACCATATACCTTGTCCCGTTAAGAGAAGAGTTCTAGCTTGACGCGTCCATGCAGCAATATAAACTTGTCCGAATTAAGTGCTTCAAACTGTTTCGAGTTTAGTTTCAGCTGAAAATACCGCAACTGAATAAAACCCAATTTCCCACATTTTCCTGATTTAGAATAGAAGCCTACAAAAAGACAAGGCTCTGTTTACGTATAAACTTCCCCTATTTGAAATACAAATCCGGTTCTAGAATTGGATCTCAGCTGAAGCTGAAGGCATTTATGTTCTAGAGGTAACAAAGCGTGAAACAATTTACCATGTTTTAGACAGCTTTCAGTGACTCTTCATTTTTAGGCAGCCCAACAATCTCGACCAAAATCCGCTAAATTTGATTTTCAGTTCGCAGTTTATACAGTAAACAGTAAAAGACGTCCTTCAAGAAGGCCAATTTACGACTTTTGAAATGAAAAAATAACCACGGGCAAAAATTTCCCGTTAAGTTTTTGCCCCAGATGAAAGCACTATCTTCAGTCTTTTCACATGTGTGAAGTGAAATAAAAAGTGTGTTGAAACCTAGATTGGTAAAGTGTGAAACAGCAGCGGCGATAAAACCACTGGTTGAAAGTTGTTTATTTGTATTTGAGTGTGTATTATCATTGCTCTTTGATAGACAAGAGGCGTAGCGGAGCTGAACAACATAGAGGCGAAGCAGACCTGCACAATCCAAGCTGACTAAAAGAATATGAGGCGGAAATCTACGTATAAAATATATTTAAAAAAACTACATCTACAGAAGCTTCATAAGCTCGTCTCAAATATGTTCAATTTGAGGAAAACACAGTTGCAAAACATAACCACCAGCGTTCATTAAGCATTTGGTATTGCTCACCGAGTGTTCACTAAGCCGAAAATTCTTGGATGAAAAAATGCAATAAAAATTAGCTTCTAGAAAAATAAAAATTGACGAGGTAAGTCGCAGCAAATTTCGTCTGAACATCAAAAAGATTCCGACCATTTTTTTCGACACTGAGACAACCCTTATGAATTTTTTGGAATATTAACCACGACCAATAAGAGCTTTACACAAAGGCGAGGCTTTGCTTCGCAAACACTAGCGAGAACACGGCAAAGGCAGCTATATTATGTGCAATAAAAATTAGAAATAAGCCTCGAATCAGTAAAAATTCGGTTACATCTCGGATTCGATCTCCGACAAATAGCGACCTAGAAAATATGAGTCTCACGCACTAACCACTCAGACAAGGACGCTTAATGAATCACAAACACTAGTCACAAATAAAGCAGAGAACAAGTGGTATGAAATTTCCAATGCTACAGATAGTTATTATAGCAAACGTGCTACCAAATAAGTGAACAATTTTAATGAACACATTCATTTGCGAGTTGGGTTAAACACAGTAGCGAAGCTTCGCACACGCTAGTGAGAACACGACAAAAAGGAGGGGGTTTGAAGGTGTTGAGGTTCCAAAATAAAGCAACTTCAATTTGTTGATTTGTAAGAAAATTTGTTTAGGGCAAAAAAGTCTTGCTTCCAATTACAATACACTAGAGCTCGCAGCTGAAATTAAGTGTTGTTTCCTTGAGCCACAATACTAAAGAACCCATAAGTGAGTTTTTTTTAAAGATTGTCTGTGTTTTACTATCGATTTAAACTGGCTTGTTTAATAGCGAAGCTTCCTTTAACACAAGATTGCTTCCAAGAAAAATCATACTCTGGCCAAAACAAAACTGCTAGACCGTGATACTTAAATTCCCGTGAGAGTTTTGAGATATTTTAAATCACTGGTGCCGAAGGTCAGCGCAGCGGAGCAAGCGCTTCCTACAGATCAATACTGCGTTTCAAGCTTTGCGAGTTACCGCTGTCCTTAATGTTTATTGATTGCGACACTACATTATATGAAATTTACATCTGATGGGTTGCTGACTCACTTGTTGACAAATTGGCCCTCCTCGAATTTGAGTTCGTTGTGTTTCCAGTACATGTTGGTGGGTTTGGTCACTCGCGTGCTCACACTGCACTCCAGCGTGGCCATGGACCCCACTTTGCTATACTTCTTCCGGTTCGCCAGCAGAGAGGGGGGACCTGGAAGTATAGCAACTAATTTATGCATGACTGCGACGCTTATGAAATCTGCATAAAATTTTTTGATTGTGTTTATAAACTTACTTCTTGATTAAATATTTCAGATTGCTACTACCATTCCTAAACTTATGCCATTATATTGTGAGTTCATATCAGGTTCCTATATTGAAATGACGTCAAGATTTTAGGGATCTAAAAGTCGTTTTTAAAATTTGTTCGATCCACTTAAGATAGCTCGATGGGTCAAATATCTTGAAATCTAGCGCTAACCAAACACTGTGACTTTTGCTGTGGTCTCTGCGATGTACATATTAGTCACTACAGCCCTGCAAATATAGACTCCAGAGGAACTGAACCCGGCATTATCCAGAATGAGAGTGGGGCCATAGGAGAGCACCCTGTCGTAGCCCTCTCTCAGCCACTCTATCCGGGGCTCAGGATGTCCATCCGCTTCACACTCCAGCTTCACCTGGTCTCCCATGATCACTTTGTACTCCTCGTTCGGGATCTTTGTGAACTCGGGCTTGCCTGTCAATTTTAGAAAAAAAATACACTTAACGAAGTAGAAATTGTTGAAGAAGCATTGTGGCAGTTACCGGTAGCTGAGTGGGAGTACGGGGGGGGGGGCTTGATTCTCTGACCACCCAAAGGTTCCCCCCTTTAGTGCTATTTTACGACATCCGCTTTTGGTTAACCAATTTTAAAATTTTTCTGAAGGCGCCAATATACACTTCATTTGAGGGCAAAACACATAACTTGGTCAACACCTTAAGCCACTAAGCCCACCCTTCACCCCGCAAAAACATGACTTGAAAAACTCTTTTAGAAAGCTTTCTGCTAAACCGTTTTTTTAATACGGAAAAATGAAAAACATGAGATCTTCACATTGGTCTTAAAAAGAAGTGAGTTGGCTCTTACGAATGAAGTTCAGTTTCGCACTGGCTCTTGCGCTGCCATATGCATTTCTCGCTTCACAGGAGACCATTCTATCCTTATGTGAATCTTCACTGATCCCTGAAGCAAACAACAGCAAAATTAATGAACAACACTTCAAAGTCCATGGGAAGCAAAACACATCAATAAAAAAACTGAAAAACATCAAATAGACAACAACAAAGATTTCACTTAATATTGATAAGAGAAATTTGCAATTTTGGATAATATTATCATATGACCTCGAATAATAGGAAATTTCTATGTAATAGAATTGAATTTATTTGAAATCCGGATACTATCTGCAAGCTTTCCGCTAGTATTTCAGATGATTGCTCATGCATAAAATTGTTTTCTGTTTGTATATTTCCATATATTAATTTATGACGAACAGATTTTTCTTTGCAAAAACATATTGCTTTGAAACTCAAAATTTCCAGCTTTTTATTTTAAAATCTTGGACAGCGAAAACAAAAGCTTTTACGAGCAGCTGTAAGACTGAAAGGATGAGAGATTATGTTCAGGTGCTGGAAAAGTGTTCAGTTGGGATAAAAAGGAGTTCACACCGGTTTCATTATTCATAAATCTACTTGCAATTAAGCCGATTGCATTGAAAAAGATCGATCAGATTAATAATTGTTTCTTCGTCTTTTGCGAAGGGTCAAAGACTCAGACTGATTGGCTCAAGTGCTTTTTTCTATCACAACCCAAGTCAAGCTTTTTTCTGCCCTTTGTTTTTCAACTTCATACGGAGAATTTCAGCTCTCATGGAGAATTTCAGCTCATTTATGCATCTTAGATGAAAAAATTTTCTTGTTCAACAAAAGAATTTCAAATCTGGTTTTGTAACAAAACAAAAACTTTTGATTAAAAATAGCCTTCCATATAAATTGAAAAATTCCATCAAATTTGAAGCACTGCTTTGCTTTAATAATATACTTTTTAAAGTTTTTGTAGTAGATAAATAAGTGCTGAGGTTTTTTCAGGCTCAAAAACAAAACACCTCTTTTATGATTGGCTGTTTGCTTGACATGAAATTGAGGTGATACTGACTTACCTGTGAGTATGAGGTTGTTAGACTCCTCGTTCTCAATCATTTGGTGTCCCAGATACCACCTGAAAGAGCCGACTTCAGGGTTCGCATCCGACCTGCACACTGCAGTAACCCTATCACAATCCTCCTCAATCAACTGGGGCGAGATGTCCACGTGAACTATCGGGGCATCTAAAACACACACTCACACTCACAAACTCTTTCAACTTCATAAGTATAGTGAAACATAAGGGTTGACAATTGATTTGTGATCACTAAGTTGCACCACTTGTACTTAGTGACTGATTCATGGCCAGCGTGCCCAACATTTAAAAAAATATATAACTTGAATTTCTAGGACACCAAATATGCTTTTTGCTTACTGTTTTTAACGCAAAATCAAATTGGTGTCATTGCCAATCGAAACTTCAGATGGTTTCACGCATAATAAAAGCTCCAGTTCCTTCGTTTTTTGTTTTGGGTCATCAAATTGCAGTTATTGCTCAGCTTTGTACGGTAAAAAGGATTTTAAAACTAAGAAAATTCAAGATATAAACAGAAACTGCAGACAAGGCACAGTTTTGACTTGGAGCCTGAATTAGTCTGACATCACATCAATGAAGCTAATGATACTGGTAAACTAACGCCACATTTGTTTTTCTAGTTTAACAGACCACTGGATACCAATGTGAATGACATAAGAAAAATTACTCACAATTTATTGAAAAATATTAATAAAAAAATTATGTCACTTGTTAACAAAAGGATGAACAATTCGTCATGGTTTAGACAGTGTGTCTGTTTTCAACCAGGATGAACTTGAACAGTTGTTGTTTTTATTAAAAACTTCAAAAAACATAAATAGACTTCAAGGCCAATCTAGTTCTGCAATGAGGCTCTCGAAAACACTTGACAGCGTTATGCTATTCTTCACTTTCATGAAAAGTCATAAATTACATGTAGGGGTACTGCATAAAATGTTGGTTTGCAATGCAACCGTCCCACAATGATCCGGTCATTGCGAATTAACAGTTCACCTTGAACCTCATTGGTTCAGTTAAGTATAAACAGTTGTTATTTAAAACATAAACCCATGTATCCGAATATGAATAAAAAACTACAAGCCAACTATTATTTTAAGGATGCAAATCGCACCAACTTTTCCATTTAAAAACACTTCAAATATTAATTGCCCTTCGCTGCAGGTAAGCTCATGAAAATGATCATGATACAATCTCATGATGAAAATGGGGAATCATATACGTTGCACTTGCAATTCTGTCCCCCTTAAAAAACCGTACTATCTTCTTTGTATATCCCATCATCATTCACTAATTATGCATGCATACAGACAGGTGGAATTGTAGGAATGAACAAAAGGACAAAATAGTCCAGCAAAAAATCTCCAGGCACTTTTAAGTCATACGGGCAATAAACACGAGAAAACGGAAAATTATTCCATTTAGTGCTGAACAAATTCCCCAATTCCTTTGAAGTCACGCGCCTGCCTCTGTGAACAAAAAAAAAACAAAAAATAAAACAGTTGTACAGTACATCATATCAAATCACTTTTCCATCCCTTTAATTTTGCACAAGTGCAAGTGCAAATATGCAATGGGAGCTAAAATACATATCAAACGGCGATGCAGCAAAGATTATCTGAGTCTATGAAATATTAAGTAAAGCTGAGAACTTTCTGCGACAAAGGGAATTTCCCAGCCAGGCACTGTTTCCTACTGAATGAAAGAGAACTCTCTCAAGTGAACGAATTAATATTGAATGATCTAAGCAACCGTCCTTTTGAAATTTGGCAGGTGCAAGTTTCAATGGAGACAGAATTTTTTTTTTGAAAAAAAATCTGAAGCAACTCGCTGTAAAAATAAACATTAAAAAGGGTTTTGATCAAAAAATTTAAAATTTATTGTAGTCATGTGAAGTCATTTGTCGTAGACACAAAAATCCGAATCAATTTTGATTGACTTTGCTATACATAATGAATTTTGCAGCTAAAAGTTTTTTGAAAAACACTTAATTAAAATTGATTGCGGCTACGGGGATTTGATTTTTTTCCAGGGCAGTAAAAAAAACAATAATACTTTTGCTTTCAAGGAGGAAAAAATATTACGCAAATTTTAAAGCGGCCGTAAATTAGATCCGTAAAAGTAAAAGTATGAGGACACAAAGTCTATTTAGTGCGGTGCTCAAAAAAAATTTATAGACCTGTTTTTAAAATAATATCTTTTTTTAAGAGTTCGCTACATTACAGCGTATAGCTAAATAAACTTTCAAGCCATGGAAAATATTGAAATAGTGGAACTAATCACTTGTTGTCTCCCTTCGAAATAGAGAACAAAGGTGTTGTTTTGTGGTCCGTCCTTACAGTGTCATAGATTAGATTAGAGGTAAGGGGGGAAGGGGAAAGAGCGTCTAAAATGTGGACTAGGGGTTCCAAGGATGCTCCTGGAAACAATAAGAAAAGGGTCGGAGAGGGGGACTAATTGCTTTTGGCTTGGTCAGTAATAATAAACAGTTAATCGGACTCCATTTGAAAAGAAAAAGAGAAAAAAGGTAGTCGAAGTCGACATAATCAGCTCAGATAGAATAGAAATTTAATGTTCAAAGAAAGGAATTTGGAAAAAAATTATTATATATTGTATCGACCTACAACCAACCATGTTTCAGAAAAAGCTATATTGCTTACCAAAAAAAATACCGTACAATCTCTCAATCAAAAAGCCCTGAGTTTCGCAATTGAAAACTGAAAATTGAACTGAAAAGATTATCAAAAAATGGGCTAATCCAGCGGTTAAGGTGTCACAATTTGAGACTAGTACCGAATGTTCCTATTTCATTTCGAAGGGGCTGTTAAAAGGTTCGAATTCTACTAACATCGGACGTTGAGTGTGACGGAGTCGTTTTTGAATGCAACGTCGGCGTCATTCTTGGCCTTGCACACATACACTCTCCTGTCCTCTTCCCTCGCAGGAGTGAAGCTCATGATACTCGTAGTGGAGATTAAACCATCCTCTAAACAACACAAACAACAGGTTATTGCATCATCGACACTGGATTTCAATAGTATCACTTTTTGAAGAACATTTTTGCTAATTGGTGGATCGAACACCAGCAGATATCAAAACTTCTGGTCTAGTAATGTTACTCGCTACTCATATTAGTCTCGTAATAGATTTTCAACCTATTGTTGTTATTTATCGTCTCATTATCGCCTTTTATTTAATTCGAGGGTTTCTCTTTTTATCGTTTTTTATCTTCGCTAAATCTAGCCTATTTAGACAACGGTAAAAGATACTTCCTGTTACTATACCAGAAACTAAAGAACTGATATTATATAATCCTGTTCTGATTTGTGCCTCCATACTCCACGTTAAAAACAACTTGCATCTTAACCATGGTCTATGACTCATAACCAGAGATGTTGATATTAATATTGACCAGAGATAATCTTCTCTGCAGCTGGACAAGCAGAAGTGCACTGGAGATGACAAACTTCTCATAATCCCTACCATCTCAAGAAGACAACAACCCTGAATTCATACTACCCTCCATCAGAATCTATATACCATATCTATATACTATAAGTCAATGACGATACTACTAATGTACCAATCGTCTCGTATCTGTCACTTGAACAAATATTAAGCACTACTTTTGCAATTTGACCGACAAAAGTTTTTTACTGCTCTGAAACAAACAATCTATTGAAACTTTAGAACAATGTCAGTTCAATTTGTATTGGTTTTTATTGCTGAGGCAAAAAGAAATATCCAAGTGTCCATGGAGCCTAAACACGGGCGTCAAATATCCAATACTGAATAACATCTAAATCCTACTATTGTTCAAACAGCATCGTTGTCCAAGCATGACCCATAAAGCGATCCTTAGATGCAAAAAAGGTTGCATCAAAATTTTTTGCGCGAAACGCGGCCGAATCTGAACAAGTTTGTATCTCCGCCTTTTTTATGATGCTTCTTTTTTGTTGTTCAAGAGCAAGGCATCAGTTGTCAGATCACAAACCGAGAAAATCATGCATGTCCAAATAAAGTAATTACACTATAAACTAGCAAAAAGTGTACAGTAATTACATTAAAAACTAGCAAAAAAGATACAGTAATTACATTAAAAACTAGCCAGAAGCGTACTGACCGTTCTTTTTGGTCTTAATCTCGAAGTACATGTTGGGATTGATTTTCAGAGAGTGTCCTTTGTCGTCCTCCCACACTATGTCCGCCTGCGGGTAACTCTGTCTCACTTCACATGTGAGGTTGTGTAACTCCCCCGCCTTCACCTCGGGGGTGCTGCTGCCACGGATGATGGGGGGACTAGTTCCCACTGCAACACAATAAAAAACTATGAAATTTATTCACAGATCATTATCAGATAACCAAAATTTTTTGAAAACCTCAATTTTTATATTGAGAATCTTGGATCTCTTAAATTTTGAAATCTTAGATTTGCTTCAAAAAAACTGAGCATAAAAGAAATCAGAAGACGACAAACTGCATGATTTTGAATGCACTCTTCAAAGGATCATTATGAGGGACCCTCCCTGATATTAAAACCTGACAGCAAAAATCAGACAAGGGTCTACTATACCTATGACGTTTAGAGACGCCACTCTGCCTGGCGTGTCTTCAACCACTTTGATGTCGTACTGGGCGTTACTTCCTGCCGTGTAGCTGCACAAATACTCCCCTGCATCAGACAACTTGGCGTGGGGTATGTTGACCTCAAACGAATTCCGCTCCTCGTTGACTGAAACCCAATCGAACATCAGAAAAAGTAACGACCAAAAAATTTGGAGCATTAATTGACGAGTAAAAGACTCGTGCTCATGTACGAAACGGAAAACAGTCCCACACAAACTATGAAAAACTTATTCATAGTTATCGAACAAAATTTACATAGTGTGTTGTATGGGAATGTTTAGCAGATGGTATTTTTTGATAACAGAATATCTCAATCAATGTTGGATCCTCAAGGATGTAGTGACCTCAAGGAATCTTGCAAACACTATCCAATAATACCGCATATGGTGAAACACACAAGTACCATTTTGCCAAAGTATCACCAAACCACCCAATTTTTTTGAAGTTTTTGTATCAAAAAACACTTGTTAAAGAGACTTGAGTTCTCTGATGGAGCTCTGCTCATTCGTACTTCAGTATATTCTGCATTTTCGGATAATGTTTTACTTACTAAACTGAAGAAAAAAAAACAGAAACTTAGAGGAAAATTGCATTGCGTAAGTGAGCCGAATTTGTTTTTCAACAGGATTGTTTTGCTTTTAGAAAATCAAGATGTGTTCTACTTACAATCTACGGAGACGCCTTCTGGTTTATACGCAATTAAATCTGAGACATATCTCTTGTTATTCGGGAACTGGATGACCGCATGGTACCTTCCCTCTCCAAATTGCAACATAGCCCCGTACTCACACACGAATCGAGCACTGTCGTCCTTCTTCACTATCGGCTTATCGAATGCAGCTCGTGTGATCACTTCGTGTTTGTTATACATCTTGCTTGTATCGCCTGAGAAGTAAGCCGAACAGAGACTTAGCAGAGATAGAAGACAATTCCAGTTAACAGTTAAATATTTGTCATAACCGACACCGAACATTTTGACTTTGGCAACTTTTAAATTGATACAATACGGGAAAATAAAAAAGAGATATAGCACAAATTTTGTAAATTTTGACAGAATGCGGAAAACTGTGTTTTTGATATTTTTGTATATTTTAATGGTACTCTAATTTTTCATTCAAAGGTAAAGTAACGCGCGTGTTTATTTCCGGGGTACTTTCCTAAGTCTGATTTGAAGAATAGGAAAGAGATTTCCAAATTGGAAATAATCCTCTAAATTACCCCCTGTGTACCGAAATTACCATTAGTCAGCTTTGAGCGAATAGCAAAAAACAATAACGAGTACTTTTGTTAATTGAGGCGACAATCAAGGCTTTGAACAGACTTTGTTTACAGGTAATTGTTTAAAACCATTTTCATTAGTGGATTGGGCTGCCAACTTCGAGACCCTAACCAAGCTTAATTGAAAATTTGTGCGTACTTGAATAATTTTGAGTCTAGATTCTAGAACCATGCAGCAATAATTAGACCTAATTTTTGGTCGCAAATGATGAGTCGACCAAAAGTTCATGTAACGCAACATAAAATGAAAAAAATGTACAGGACAGAAATATAGGAAAAAAGAAAAATTGAATTTGAAAAAAAAACGAGATCTTTTCAATTATCTCTTATGGTTCGTAATAAAGAATAACCACCCTGTAAAGAATTAAATCAACGGTTAAGAGTACTCATTAAATGCCGCATCAAAGTGACTACTTTAATTGCGCATGCTAAGCGGCACGCATGCAAGTCGCTACACCCCAAGGCGAATAGATAAAAAGATAAAAACAAACAGCCCGAGAACCTGTTGAGCTAGCAGCACATACTTAAGACTAATTTTTAATGTAAAAGTGAAAAAACTAGCACAAAACGCTATTATTTTTTTGAGATATTTTTGAGAATTCAAGAAAACTGAAACCATCTTTATAATTTGTCCGGTTCCCCGTTAAATGCCAAAAGCCTGCTTTGACGATATTGTTGATCGCAACTGCCAACTGCCGAGGATGAATGACATCGAACACTAACATTTGTCAAAAACTGTTTGAGATCAATGTCATAATGGCAACTTGGATTTGAAAAATTAGGTTCAGAATCAACGTTTATTGGAGATCAAATACCCGAAACGTTTGAGCCCAACCAGCACAAGGGTTCAATTTTGACTAAACAATTTTTATGAATTCGATTAGGCTCACGAAAAACTATATACGCTGCAAACTTCTTCAAAAGTCGCAATTATTAATTCGCTTATTTGAAAAAATATTTTTTTGTGCTGGAACTTCAGAATGGAAGAAATATGTCGTGATTGTTTAATTGGACTGTTGGCTGCAAAAATTTTGGTATACTAGAAACTTTCCAAGATAAATTATTGTTTGAACCATTTTGAGTGACTTCAGATTTGGGTGTTTTGTCCGCGCTATTTCAGGTACCATCACTAACGTCAAATGGGATAAATTATAGAAAAAAAATGGTTGAAGTTTTCATTTTTTGATCAGTTTGATCTGCGATACTGAATGATGACTGATACCAATTAGGCTAGTTACTTTAAGGGAGAGCATTAAATTGATTAAATTAAGCAAAACAACTAAATTATGCGCTGTTAGTGCTTAGTTTTTGAAGTGTAAACTTTTTCCAGTTTTTTTATTTTGACAAATGCAGATAAGTATCCGGTTGTACGAGTCCGGGCTCATTGCACAGCAACCAGTCTCAAAGAAATTGAATTGCCAGTTGTGTTATCCGCGCTTTATTGCCAAATTCTATGACGCTCAACGCGGAGGCACATTGTAAAACACTCCGTATCAGATATTCGAATTTTTCTTAAATATCCAATCGCCTCAGAAAACAGTCTGTTTTGCAATCATTATGCTGCCTATTTGGGCACATTGAACCAAACAAACCTTCAATCCCAACTCATGAGGGTTTAAACAAAAAGAGTAGAATGGTGATATATTACAATAGGTGGCAGGTTCAATTTCAATAGCTGGATTGCTTTTCGTTATACTTCGCACATTAATTATAATTTGCTTCAAAAGCCAAATTTTCTAGCAAGTAGATCGAATCTTTTTTCAATGGTTTTTAAAAATTGTATGATTAGCAATTTTCCATACATTTGATGTAGGCAATTGTATGATAAGCATTTTCGGTGTGGGGAAATGTAAGATAATTATTTTCGGTTTATGGAGGTCAACCTGGGGAAGTGCGAAATTTTCATCTTTGAATTGCATTCCATTTGGCAGAGTAATGTATTTACAAAAATATCTTAAGAGCAGTACATTTGATTGAAAATGAAATGACTATATTATGCATTATAGTTCTGAAATTTAATACATGCATTATACTCAAAATTACCACCTATTGTAACATATCACCCAAAAAATATCTAGCTTTTATTTCAACTCAATCAAAAACTACTGTAAAACAAGGATAGCCGGTTACTGAGCAAATAGCACAGAATGCTCCGATCATAGTCTTAAAAAACACAAAAACAAGTTGTTCTTTCAAATTAGTGTCGTTTTTTTTCCGGCTTGGTGTGATAAAAAAGGATGTGAACAAAACACTTAGGCATATTCGTCATTACACTCAAAATTACCCCCTATTGTGACATATCACCCAAAAAATATCTAGCTTTCATTTCAACTCAATCAAAAATTACTGTAAAACAAGGATAGCCGGTTACTGAGCAAATAGCACAGAATGCTCCGATCATAGTCTTAAAAAACACAAAAACAAGTTGTTCTTTCAAATTAGTGTCATTTTTTTTTCTGCTTGGTGTGATAAAAAAGGATGTGAACAAAACACTTAGGCATATTCGTCAGCCATAGTAACAAAAAAAGCAAAGTGGACAGCAGTTTTTGTAAAATCATTTAAAAAATTTCGCCGAGAAATTCAAAAAATAACTTCATTCGAGTGAAATTAAGTTTTTACGGCTTAAATTAAGCATAAATAAGCTATTTTAAGCCAGCTTGCTTGCTTTACTTGCTCGAAGTTAGACGAAAAATCAAAAATTTCAAACCTATTTTTCTCGCCACTGGGAAATTTTAAAATGTCGCTCGAATCACGACTGAAAGGGCTTTAATATGATATATCACTCAACTCACTCCGACAATTATTCCTGATAGCTGATTTTCCGAGGAAAACAAAAAAACTAAAACACACCCGAATACAAAGTTCCTGTCCATTTTTCAATGGTCGGAACAAAAATAGGGGGGGGAATGAAAAATACAGCTGTTTAAAACAGAGCTTTAAGTTTTGAATGTGACAAATCTGGACTATCTAAAAATGATTTAAAAAATTGCATTGATACCTACAAGAAGCGAACTATACCATATCAAATTTGTAAGTGTAAATGAAAAAAAAATTGGTCAACTTAAAAAAAAAAACCCTTTTCCGGAAGAACTCTTGATTTATAATATTGGTTAGAAAATTTTTGTCAAACATCATTACGCTGCGCATTAGCGTCCCAATAAACCCGTAACTTCCGCCAATTAGCTAAAAAAACATAAGCCGTTCCAGCAATCAATAAGACATCGGATAAAGTTTTAAAAAAATCATTTTTTTGCCAAAGTTTCTATTCATTTTTTCAGTTAAAGGCAATTGAATAAAGTATTAAGCTCCTAAAACATCGAATCCGTTATAGCTAAATTAATGTAAATTGTATTAGAATTGAATTCAAAGTTCAGTATCATTCGTAAACTTTGCGTCATTTCAGTCTGAAAAGTTTTATTAGACAACCTTTAAGATATTTCTGGAATCTGAGTAACCTTTCGAAGGGCTTTAATATGATACCACAGTTAAACCGTACGAGCTTTATTTGAAATAGTCAAAATCAAACAAGAAAAAAACACAAGCTAATTCACAGTTCCTTCCGATGAGTTAGAGCGACGCGGTCATAATAATTAATTTTGTTGTATGACAGCTTATAAGAACTCTTCTTAAATCTACGGTATTAACCAAAAAATACGAGAACAGGATGTTACTTGTAAGTTCCAGCTAGCCTTTTATGCTCTAAAACATTCAAAAACACACAAACAAGAGCAAAATCAAAGTAGCCGGCCAAGAAATCCTGAATGTAAACGCAGAAAAACATTAACAAATTGTCTCGAAAAAAATATCAAGAAAAACGCTAAGAAACTGGCTCACAAGAGTACCCGAATGCTGTTTAACTTTAAAAACATGTTCCTATCAGACTCATTTAGATTAAACAATTTGAAAAATCATCTCAAAAACATTTTGCTCTGAGGCAACTCTTTCTGGTTGTTATTTTTAAACTATATATCTCAAAAAATCTAATGACTCTTTTGAATTAATTTTTTCAACACATAATTACCGAGAGGAAGAAGAGAAGATATGAGCTGGATAATGGCAACTAATTTTGATAACTCCCCATTCATTTTTCCACGACTGAAGACCCCTCAAGAACACAGCATAAAAAGGTATAAATAACTAAATTTGTAAGAAAACTGAGATATAATTTACTGGAACTTCAGCTTTATACAAAAACTGGATCCAAATTTAAATTTTGGGGTTAAATTTTATGTAGCTATTGGGTTTTAAATTACGTTTTATAGAAAACTTGATAGCAAGCTGTAGCTGGGTTGTTTGTATCTGTATGCCGTTATAATCAGCCTTAAAAACGAGAATACGTCGTTTAAAAAATTTTAATAAAAAATCAACAAAATAATGAAGGAACAAGCGGAGTAAAGTAGCGTTATTTTATTTATTGAATAAATTTGATATACTTTTATTTCTTTCTACTCTCTCAGTCAGTTGCGTAAGTATTTTATTTTCTATTTCTCTATTTGGCTTTAGCTCATTTAAACGGTCGGCATAGTATTTCAGCAAATACTGCGACGCAATAGGCTGGAAAATAAAGGAAGACAGTGGACGGAGAGTTGCGAACAGCGGCTGTTTATTTTCAATTAGGGGAAGGGGGAGCAGCAAAACAAAGAATACGGAAACATAAAAAAATATCAACAAACTAGTCAAGTATAAAAATCATGCTATAACTGCCGCACACATTTCAGGGATTAATGGAATGAAAAGAACACGAATCAACACGCAATGAGCACAGAAAAAAAAAATATTTTTTAATGACAGTCGCTGACTAACAACATTAATCATTTTTATTCGTCGTAAGTAGACTGTTTTGCTTTTGGAGGGCGAATTTTTTGGGATATTCAAAATTATGTTCATGCATCATCGTTTATTTTGGAAGTTGACGTTTACGCCAACTTGCTATTTCTTCCGAGTAGGGGAAACTACTTTTTATTAGTTTGCTATGGC